AACTATCATGGACAAGGATTTGTAAATAGAAACGAATCATTACAGTATATGGCTTTTATTTGTCTGTTTGTTTTCAATTTTATAATGTTTTTATACACTTTTTTGTATTGTCGTTTGCCTAGAGGCCGGAGGATAAAAATATTTTCGAAGACTCACGAACTTTCGAAGTTTTCAGGAGTTTCTCCTTTGAAACTTGTGGTTCCGTCTAAGAATGCGTCAGATCCGGCATGCGTATGCATCACATCACATTCTCTCCGCACTATCTGCTTGCTAGAATGGGCGTCTTAACTAACTAACCAGAGACAAGTAACTTGTCCATAGAACAAGGCTTATTTTTAAGGAACTTGTCTCTGTAACTAACTATTAAATAGAAGTTTGTTTTGATTAACGTAACCTCAAACTAACTTGCGCATGTCATTTAAGCAAGGAGCCGATTGCGATATATGCGCTAGTCTGACAAGACCGAATTAATGTGATCTAGTACGTCAGTGCTCTCATTCGTGTTCAAGTGCGAGAGTGAAACAATACTAGGAAAGGTGACTATCTGTAACTATTAATAGTAGCCAATGAGTTGACAACTCTAATTAACCCTATTTTTGCTATCTATGGCTTTTGTACAGTTGTCAGAGAACTGAAAACTCAAAGAAGTATTGCGCTTATGTGTGGAGAACAGACTACTCATTAGTGGGTGTCGAATTAATCAACGAACTCAATAAGCAGTAAATACATTGGAGTTTTCATAGCCGGTAGGTAGGTGCACTCTAGTAAATAGATCTAATAGTGGCACAAAGCAGTATATTTCTATCTTATTCTGAACCATTCCAGCGCTAAATCTATTAGATTAGATTTAACTGAGAAGAGATAGAACTGGAACAGTTCAGCTCTCTTGATTTACCCTTATAACAAACACACTTTAGTTTGAATTTTGTGTTTGAAAATTGTGCTAATTATTTACAGGACACAGGCAACTAATTCAAGTTCAACATGCCCCCTGCGGACGCTACCCCCATTTCCAACAGGAGCAACTTTGAACTCTGCTATTCCTTGAAAGCTTTTAATAAAATTCCAGTTTCTGAGTATGTTTCTAAGGAAACAGGGCTGACTGTCTGCATCGCTCAAGTCGAAGGCCCAGTGGTGAATGGATATTTTTGTTTGGGTAAGTAATTACCAATGGCCCAAAACACTTTTTCCAAAGTTTACCGTTTCAGCTACCGAAGCGTTTGACGATGATGGTTTACCTCACACGTTGGAGCATCTCATTTTTTTGGGAAGCGAAAATTACCCATATAAAGGAGTTCTCGATCTGCTGGCTAATCGATGCTTGGCCTCTGGCACCAATGCTTGGACTGATATTGACCATACCTGTTACACTATGGAAACCGCTGGGTCTGAGGGATTTTGCTCCCTTATGCCCATATTCCTAGAACATATTTTATATCCGATTTTGAGCGTACGGTGTTCCACTTTGTATCAGGCAAATTAGTACTAAACGCTTGTTTCAGGACGAAGGTTTTATTACCGAAGTGCATCATATTACGGGCGAAGGCGAAGATGCAGGGGTAGTTTACTGCGAAATGCAGGGCAGAGAAAATTCCGCAGGATCAAGAATGCATTTAGCATTATCAAGGAACATGTATCCCGGTCATTGTGGATATTCATCTGAAACGGGAGGAATTATGAAAAATCTGCGGGAATCCACCAATAATGATAAAGTGGGTATTAAATGCAACGCACTTTTCTATCTTTAAAACTCCATTACTATATAAACCTATCTTGCCAATATTGTGCGTATTTATTTCTAGGTAAGAGCTTACCACAAAGAGTTCTATAGACCGGAGAACTTAAAAATAATTATAACTGGACAAATAAACCCTGATGAAGTATTTAGAGCCTTGAGGCCGCTGGAGCTCTTAATCCTGTCCAAAGTAAGAATATTGCCATCCTTTCTGCACACAATAACAATAAACTATCCATTTTTAAATCTTTAGGGAGACAGAGGTGCCTTTGAAAGGCCTTGGCAATCCCCAGTGTCCCCGTTGGAATCCTCTAAAAATCTAACACTGAAATATCCCTCAGATGATGAAGACAATGGCTTATACTCCATGGCCTGGAGGGGACCTTCTTGTGTCACCGATTTATACAATGTTACAGCTTGTTCGCTACTGCTGAAGTATTTCACTGAAAACTCAGTTTCTCCTTTACCTAAAGTGTTCATTGAAATAGACGACCCGTTTGCCAGTAACGTACGTCCGAAGAATCACCAACAATTCTCGATAGAGTCTATGAAATATTTTTTAGATATCCTACAGCTTGTATGAAAATGCAGAGACATGTTTCTACTTATTATTCGAGGACGTACCAGTGTCTAAAGTAAACCAAGTTAGAGAGCAGTTGCAGGCGGAATTACGAAAAATTTTAGATAACAAGGATATAGACATGGAAAAACTGCAGAGTATAATAAATAAATACAAACTGGAGAATTTGAGCAACATTGAAAATAACCCTCATCAATCTGTAGCTTGCATGATAATAGGTCATATGTTATATGGAAACACCAAAGACGATGTACGTCCTATTTAATCAAAAACGAACCCAATATTCTCTGAATGTATTTTTTTAGTTGCAACAAAGGCTCAACCCGCTTGAGGACTTGCTGAAATTATCCAAAGAGCCAGATACATTTTGGTTAGGGATTCTGGAGAAATATTTTGTTGGTAACAAATATGTATCTGTGGAATGCTACCCAAGTAAGGAAGAGCAGCAAAAAATGGCCAAAGAGGAGAAAGAGCGAGTGGAGAAGCAGAGGCAACTGCTAGGAGAGGAAGGCTTAAAGCAAAAAAAGATCGCTTTAGAGAAAGCCATTGAGAGCAATGATAGGGAACCGCCAGTGAAAATGCTAACGTCTGTACCAATTCCAGGCCTCGAATCGATCACATTCCACAATATAGAACGATATAGAAGTGACTTACCAGGTGGTCGAATTGACTTGTCTCAAGCCCCAGTATTTACGTACTTTGATGACTTAAAAACCAGCTTTGTCTATGTACGTATATAAATAGTCTATTCTCTGCAGGTAATGAAAGAAAACATTCCGTTGTGTTATAGTTAAACGCATTATTGGACACATCGAGTATCCCTTCACACTTAAGAATATATCTTCCATTATTCTTGGAGTCCCTTCTGGAACTGCCGATAGAAAGGAATGGAGTTATGGTGCCCTATGAACAAGTTGTGGCAGAATTAAATGACGATACTGTCAGCAGCAAAACTTCGCTAGGTGGATTATGGAATACATACGCTGAGGTTCATTCAGCTAATATTATTTGTATTTAGGCCTAGGCAACTGCAGTTTATTTGCATGTGGAATTTATTCACAAACAGCTTCCATTGCCCTTCACCTCGAAACTAGCAAATATGCCAAGGGAATAAACTGGATCCGAGAGCTTCTCTATCATGTTAAATTTACAGCAGAGAGAGTTAAAGTTATTGCTTTAAAAATGAGCAATTCTGTCGCTCAATGTAAGAGAAGCGGACGAAACGTCGCATCTTATGCTATGAAGAATTTATGGTATTTGAAAGGTGAAATATTTAGTGTGGCATCAAGTAATGCAAATAATGATTGTTTATATATTTGTAGATAGCAACGTTTACGCTAATGGGATTTTGGTTCAGAGCAAATTTCTGACCGATGTAATTCAAAAGCTTAACGAAGAAGGCGCTCCGGATGTGTTGAACGATTTGGAAAATTTAAGAGCTGCTTTGACTAACCCGTCGAACTTAGTTTTATACATTGCAGGAAGTCTGGAAAATATTGCAGATGTAACAACGCCCTTAAGTGGCCTATTGCTGGCAGATCAAGTACCAAGCACCAAAAGTCAGTAAGTATGAACTGGACGCAAGTGGTTGTAGCACTTAGTTGGTTTTCCACATTTTTTCCTGTTGCTAGATTGTCTCCAACTCCCGATCACAAGCTACTGGGAGTTGTCAACGATTCTCCGAATTCCGGTTGCATTGTTGGCTTGGGATGCATCGAATCTTCGTTTTATTATCAAACTGCCAAATGCATAACATCGTTTAAAGATGCTGATCTGCCAGCTTTACTGCTTTATGTCCAATATTTGATTCAAGCCGAGGTAAACACATACACAATGTTTTTTCGAATTTCCCCAAAACACATATTGCAGGGTCCAATGTGGAAGCAAATAAGAGGCAAAGGGTATGCTTATGGCTACAGAATTATTGTGAAAGTATCGGAAGGACTGATCTATCTAATATTTGCGAAAGCTACGAATGTTTTGGGCGCTTATCAGGAGTCTAAGGAGATTTTGGATAAACAACTGTCCAAAAACGAGTGGGATGAAACGCTACTCGAGTCTGCTAAAAGCTCGCTGGTTTTCAATATAATTGAAGAACAGAAAACGATTGAAAGCACAGTAGAATTATCACTTAGGTCCTACTTTCAAGGAGTGGATTATTCGTATAACAAGTAAGAGATTTGAAACGCATTTGTAAAGAATGTGGTTATTAGGCAAGCATCGTTATTGCAGAAAGCTGCTGGAGTCATTAAATAAAGTGAGCGTGGATGATTTGAATAGAGTCGGAGCAAAATATATCGCTCCCTTATTTGATCCTAAACAAGCTAAGGTGGCCCTCATTACTGATCCAACTAAAATCGCCGATACTGCAGAGGGTTTCAAAAAGTAAATAAATGCCCACGTTCTTTCAGTTACTGTTTCCTTTAATATTCTCTGTCTTAGGTTTAATATAGACCTGGCGGTCTACCCATCATTGGAAGAGAGTTACTTAAATCCTTTATTGTGACCAGAAATGATGCGCTGATGTAAGTGATAATACCTCTAATTGATCTTCATATTCGCCATTATCATCTTCAAATGCTACTTACTAAATATTTGAACACTTATATTAATTAATAAAGCCTATGTAGAGCATTTAGATTGTAATTTTTGTACAAGTCTCAGCAACCAGAAAATAATTACGTGCTTTAATTGAACCTGTTTGTCACCATTTATAAAAAAATAAAATCGCATTATCTACGCCTGTGTAACGTAGATGGGTTTTATACACGCAGATATTTACATATTTTTAACATTCAAAGTACCATCCGCAAGATTCACCGCGATTCACGTAAGCAGTCCACATACGCTCGCTATTCAAGAGATAAACTTGAAAAATTCGATCTTTTTGCAATTCAATTAGGTGATGATGCGTTTCATTGCCCAACTATTTGAATGTTTTATTAATCTTAACCATGGAACACGCATTTATTAAATATGGTTTTAATCATTTATTTTGCCGAGAAAAATACGTTGTTTATGTGGATGCGTTTAAACGTGTATCGAGAGAGGGTCAAATTCATTATTTTTATTGGGAATAATGACATTGATATCGAAGGATGTTACCATTTCTCAGATATTACCGGGCCGCTATATTAGGTAAAAATGCAAGTTTCCAGCAAGCTTATTCAGAGGAGTGACATTTATATTTTTGTGAGTGTTTAGTAGTTTGATTATTCGCGTTTCTCCTACAAAATATGCATGTAGGTCATCATATCTTTTATTAATCGTTTAAAGCTGAATATGTAAAATATTGCTTTATGCTTTTTTTGCTTTCAGTTGCTCGAGAAGCATTACTTTTGTAGAAAATTGTCCAACGAGAATTGCACAAATATAAATCAATCAAGCACTTGTTGAAAATAAAATGTATGCTTTCTACATTCAGTAAGTAGGTAAGCATTCGATGCACCATAGAAACATTTGCTGCATCGCCGCGTATTAACGAGGACTTTCTATATAAGTACGTTTATGAAACTTAAGTAATTACTTGCGATTTCGGTTTTGCTTGGCCTGTTGCCAGCGTACGTATATTTCTCTGATATTGAAAGGAGTTTCTACAAACATCCATCGTCATGCATCTTGTACCTATAAAAACCGCTGTATAATGTATGTAAAAAGTCGGGTTTCTGAATCAATCTTGGTCAAGATACACTTTTAATGATGCCATATTAACAGTTAGGATTTCACTTCCCTTTTTTTTGGGAGACCTACATATTGGATGCCGCCGAGTTTAAAAATTCGTTATAATCAAATGGTGTTTAAAAATGACGAACTAATGCTAAAGACAAAGAATGCGGTTCACAGCTCATACTGATTCTATTATGGATATTAGTTTAAGGAGAAAGTAATGCGTTCAGTTAAATATGTTGATTTGAAACGTCCATAAACACATACTACTCATTAAATAAACATCAACCCAGCCCAATTAGTGCAACATGTCTAATACCGAATCCAACCAGTTTGCAATTATCGGGTTAATTAAACCTTTTTAACGCAACACAGGATGGAGGGGCCATCAAGGCAACAATGAAAAATTTTCTAACATTTAAACTTAGTTTGAATTGAGCAGCTAACTTGTTTTGGCCACTTCCTTTGGCATTCACTTATGTCTTGCAGGTAGAGTACCGTATAGTGGAAAATCGTATTGCAATCGCGTGAAAGTACGCCAGCCAACAAGAAAACACCGCAGTTATTAACGAAGGCTGTATTCGGAGATTTAATATGTTTCTGGTGGTTTTCTTGTGAGCGGATTGTGCTTTTGTTTAAAGATGAGTGAAACAAATCAAATTAATGCGAACGGAAATAGTAAGGTAGGACATGAATATTAATTCTGATTAATCATAGTATTGTGCTCTAATGCCATAAGGATTTTGTAAAGTTATAACAATCTATTTTTTATCAGATTGTGAAGGCTTTCACGGCCGGTCAAATCACATTTAGAAATGTTTTTCGGGCTTTGAAGCGTCAGGAAGAAATTCCCATGGACCACGGCTTCAAAGCCCTAATCTATTTTTTGCTTAACAACACGCATCTTCCTTAAGAGCTAGATGCTTGAATTTTTGCATGCAAAGTTGCAAACTTTATTTTGAATTTATTTCCTATTCTGCATAGGAAAGATGCGCTATTCTTGACGTATACAGGAATGTGAATATGTGCCTCGGTTATTAATTACTTGCCTGGTACAACAAAAATATAATTATGTAGTTGCCATTAACTCATTCCATGTCTTTATAAAGGCATTTGTGCCATCATACGCCTGTTGCAAACAAGGTTGCTTTTTAAATAATTGCCTGCAATTATTCCAGCTAACTTTAATAATTAAGTTTATGATAAAAAAGCATGTACGTATAATTTGCTCTGGAATACGAATAAAAGGGTTTTGAAAAATATGTTGCTATTAGCAAGAAATGCGGATAAATTTCGCTATTCAACTGAAAAAACCCGGTGTATTTATAATTCAGTTGCACTTTGATCGAAGTTCAAAAAGTCTGGGTCAAAGATCTTTGGCCCTTGAGGCAAAGGCAAGTTCCAGAACAATCACTTTATTTCATGTCTTTACGACAGATTTGCTAATAAACCTTGAATAATATTACGCAGCATTGAACGAAGAAGAGCCGGTTTTAGGAAGAAATACGTGAAATGAGGACTTGTTTGTACAAATTCATTAGAATGCAAGTAGGTTGCAAATGCGTATCATACTGCGATGTTAAAATCAATCGATTGTCTTTGGAAGCGTTTGTTCAATGACTTTAACTTTTTAATTGGCCCTATTTTTCTTCATTCAACTTGGTTCATTTAAACTCAAATTAAATGCAAAATATTGCGTTTCCGTCACTATTAAAAGTTTTATTATCAATTTACCAATTATTCGTTACTATTGAGCAGATATTTGAAAATTTTTGCATAAAATAAAATATTTTGAAAGCACTTAACTGATGACTGCAGTAAAACTGCCGCTTTTCGACAAATAAACATTATTTTTACGGTCATGTAAAACACTATTTAATCTTCCTTTTAGTCTTTATGGCGATTTTTCAAAAGTTCAGTAAAAAGTTTTTTGAATTTCTTATTCGTTTATGAGGAATCTACAGTTTTCCGTTTTGACCTTTATTTAGATACACCCCGTATAAACATATACACAGTGTGTGCTCAATGACCGATTGTATAGTATAGATTAATACAAGCAGGAACAATTCAAATTGGGGGTTCTGATAGATGCTAGGAACTTTTTTTGTTAAAGTTCTGGAACGCAGCTTTTTCTTTTTAATCGTAAATTGAACAGTTGGCGAAAGTTATGGCGTTCATTTGGTTTTGAATCGGAAGGCTTTGGTAAATGATATCCGCATATTTCGCATTTTGAATAAATTTTCGAGTAAAATCCGAATTTTGAAGAAAATTTGCAGAAATTTTTCTCGTGCCAGAGCGACTGACAAAGTTTTGCGCCAATGAAAAATTATTCGCTCTGTATATAGATATGATTGTATATCAGCTTCATTTAAATTTGTGCAACTTTTAGCATGGACTTTTAGGCAAAAATTGCGTTTTTTGTGTATTTTTGTGAATCAGCGGCAGTTGATAACGTTGGCGCTGATTTTCCAAAGCGCAAGTGAAAATATGAAAAAAAATATTTGCATGCTTACCGTTTGCTCAGGTGATGGGTCCGTCTGTCTCGATCAACAGTACTAAATTTCCAATAAATTAATGAATAAATCGCTTCAAAACACTTTAATACAAAATCGGGAAAACCGCACCAACGTCATTTGGCAGGTTAGAGCACTACCGAGGATTGTCAGAAAATTAACTAATTTTATTGGTCAGGTTTTCCGTAGACATTCGACTAGTGTCGAAATTGTTTGTTTACAGTGCACAGGTAAATAAACAAATTTATTACATAACTTTATAATGGTTTGCGTGAATTTCTCAGCGCTGTCGCGACAAGGGCTTGACTGTACCCTAATTTCCATTAGTCTTCCAGTCCCATTTCTCTAGAAAGGTCTAAAATGTTCGAGGTTATGTTGCTTTAAAGAGCCTCAAAATAACACAATAAAACATTGAATTAATTGGCAATGAAACCAGGTAGCCAATGTTAATTGTACCAGGGGCAATTAAAATCATCAGATACTTGGATCCAGTTTTTAAATATTCATGTTAGGCTTTTTTCTAGGTACTGGCAGCAGCGTCACGTGAAGACGTGGAGAGCGGGGCCCAGGTTGCTGGGCTCAAAGGTAAAACTGCCGACGACGTCAGCACGAGGCGAAGAACCCGCAATTCGCGACCAGTTCGCGTCCTACTCCGGCGTTTGTTTGTCATGGCCGTGATACTCGCGATTCTAGTCGGTCTCGCTGGGTTCTTTTGGTACCTTTTCGGGTGGCAGTTCCTCATTCAGCTTGCGATCGTTGTCTTGGTTGCTTACCTAGCTGCAGGACACTGGAGATGGTTCTATGTAGCTATAGTAACAGCACCTAGAGACCTGCGGTAAGTTCAGTTCACTGGCTGCTTAAGTAGGGCTTTAGGTCACCATCGCGTCAGAACCGGTTAGTGGCATTCCACTATTTAATGCCTATTTTCGGCTTTTTAATTCAACTGAGCAGAATGAGTGGTTTATGCAAAAAATCCAACGTTCGCAGATCTTAGGGAGCTGTTTTAGGAAAGCCAAGAGGTCTGAAATTGTGCCTTCCAAATAGTAAATGGATGAATGTTAGCTACATCCTCTGCTTTAGGTATTTACCGACTTTCATCGTATTCATCAGCCAAAAAGCTGGCGCTTCGCTCCATTCTGCCCTACTTTCCAATTAAAATTTATGAACATTTTCATTACCCCACTATAAACAAATAGTATATTTATCACCTTTCAATTGCAGGCTTTTGTCAATTTCCTGCTATTTGCGTTATTTAACTGAAGTTTATACCTGTTTGCTGACTGCTATTTAATCATCAAATTTGTCCCATTAACTAGTTAAACAATATACATTATCTCCATTAAGTTCCTATTAGATAACTTAAATTTAAGTGTGAAGTGTGCATTTGTTGATTTTGTTTCAGTGCTCTCTACAGATATATAAGGCTTTTGATACAAGTCAAGTCGTTATATCGACGCGACCTTCCATTGGCGAAAATATTTGAGCAGAATGTTAAAAAACATCCTCATAAGCCGGCAATTTTGTTTGAGGATCAAGAGTGGTCTTTCATACAGGTAGGATCTGCTTAGCTTGTCATAGCTTACGAAATGTTTACTTGTAGTGCAAACGTTTAATTTTAATAAAAAAAGCACTTAAGCTTCTATAACAACGTATTTAACATTGGCTAGATTTACGGAAAGAACCCAAAATTACTATTAAACTATACCATAAATATTTAAATATATTCGCATTGTATTGTGCAAACATTATAATCGCTCCAGTATTAGCGCGTATGAAAGGCTTTTAATTGTAATTGTTCCCGCTCATATAATTAAAATTTGCAAAATATGCACATACATATTGATCAATGATCTAATCTAGGTATCTGCCTACTCACTAGAAAATTGAAATTTTAAGTCAGTTATTAATTATAGTCAATTTGCAAGAGCAGGACTTTTGCTAATTCACTAAAATTTAATTTCATTGGCTAGAACATGATGAGTTTTTCTCCAGATCTCCAGGGAAAAAAGTTTCTTCCTCACATTTCGACAGTAGAGTGACTTGCATCTTCATATGGTTTCCACAGCGGTCTAAAATTCCGTAAAACTCACAAGTTTTAACAATTCGAACGTTTTCAGTTTCTTTGATAAGCAGTTTTGTAATTTAAATACGTGTTAATTAGTGAAAAAATTATAAAACCTGCTTTTTCACCGTAGATTGACGTAATTGCATAACTGAATATATTTTTCAATCCTGATCAGCTTTTTTTTTGGCAATTTGTGGTTCTCAAATAAAAAGCTACTTTGCGCTCGACCCAAATTCATATTTTTGTAGATAATACAGAACTTCTATGAATAACACTTGTTTCTCAAAATTAATAGTTAATTAATTTCTTATATAAACCATTAACAATTTTTTTTCCAGATTGAAGAATACAGTAATAAAATAGCAAACATATTCAAAAGTCACGGCTACAAAAAGGGCGATCGCATTGCGCTTTTCCTGGAAAACAAGCCCGAATATGTGGGCATTTGGTTGGGTCTATCAAAATTAGGAGTGATCGTTCCATTGATAAATACCAATCTAAGATTGAGCTCTTTGGTGCATTCGATCACTGTGGCAAAATGTCAGGCTGTTATATTTGGATCTGAACTATCAGATGGTAAGAATTACTTAAACATTGAGCTTAAACAGAGACCTTTGTATAATATGTGCTTTTTTCTCCGGCTTCTCCACTCTATTATCTAGTCAAAAATCAACTCCATTAAGTCAAACCTCAATCATATGCAATAAAAGTTATATTATTTATGTTTTATATTGTAAATTTTGCGGCGTTGGCGTGGTTCTCGTTAACTAGCTACAATAATTTTTATTGCTTTGGCGGTTGACGACACAATTTCACAAACTGCATATTTTTATTAATCGTTAACCCTTTTGACTTTAATCTGAAAATAACTGTAGCATTTCCATTTGAAATTGTAATGTGTGTTGAATCGAAACAATAGGCATGTTCTGGTTCATATACTTTGATAAGGTTGCATATTTCACCGGTTAATTGGCAAAACATCGCATTTTGTTTTGCAATAACTGCGTTTCGTTTTAAAAGCTTGATTGATTGATTATCTTACTAAATGGCTAGTAGTTACTCTTGTTAAATAAAATTTAGTAAATTTATGTTTTTATGTTCTTTGTTACGTTTAAGTATTTACGTATTTTTTGCACTGTGCTCCTAGTTAGTTTCATTAGTCGTTTTCCTCAGCATTAAATGGTTGATGCAAATGTAATTAACTTCGACTCGTCAAATTCCAGCAAAATGAAATTAATTCTGGTTTTTTCCAGCTGTGAGCGAAGTTTTGGACAAAATCGAGTCCAAGGTGGCTCTGTATCAAGTGAATTGCAACAACAATGCCGGACCCCAAGATGAACGTTTCGAAAATTTGGATTTATTGCTAAAAGAAGCTTCGAGTAGTCAGCCGGAAGTAACGGAAAAAATCGGCCACCATGATCATTTGGTTTATATTTACACTTCGGGCACAACTGGACTTCCTAAAGCAGCCGTAATAAGTACCTCAAGGTACGGAGATGAAGGCATTTGGTTTCTTGTAAGCCTAAAAATTTACATTCTTGTTTGTTTGCAGGTATTTTTTTATTGCCGGCGCTATGCATTGGCTGTGTGCTTTCCGTGCATCTGATCGCTTTTACTGTCCTCTTCCATTATATCACACGGCCGGAGGCTGTATGAGTATAGGGCAAATGTTAATTTATGGATCTACTATTGTGATTCGCAAGAAGTTCTCTGCTTCTGCCTATTTTCCGGAATGTCGCAAATATAATTGTACTGTGAGTGGCTGGATAAACAGTTCACTTAAACCGTGTTCATTTTTTATATTTTTTTAGACTGCTCAATACATTGGGGAAATGTGTAGGTATATTTTGGCAGTGCCCCCTAAACCCAGCGACACCGAGCACAGTTTGAGGGTAATTTTTGGAAACGGGTTGCGGCCGCAAATCTGGAGAGAGTTTACAGACCGATTCAATATAAAGGACGTTAAAGAGTTTTACGGGGCAACAGAAGGAAATGCAAACATCGGTAACTAAAAATTGTCAAACTTATAGTTTTTAGACTGAAATTGTGGATATTCTAGTGAATTTCGACAACACGGTGGGCGCAATCGGCTTTTTATCTCGAATCATTCCGCAAGTCTATCCTATTTCGATTATCAAAGTTGATGAACACGGGGAGCCAGTTCGAGATGCCCGAGGATTGTGCCAAACGTGCAAACCCAACGAACCTGGAGTGTTCATCGGCAAAATATTACCAAACAATCCATCCAGGGCCTTTTTAGGATACGTCGACGAGGAGGCCTCTAAAAAGAAAATCGTTCACAACGTTTTCAGCATAGGGGACAGTGCCTTCCTTTCCGGGGACATTTTAATAGCAGACGAATTTGGAAATTTGTTTTTCAAGGATAGAACTGGCGATACGTTTAGATGGAAGGGTGAAAATGTCTCCACTTCTGAAGTAAGCCCTAATGAATATATAAATCCTCTATTTTTAACTAATTGCGTTTTGTTCTTTACTAGGTCGAGGCTGTGATTAGTAATTTAGTAAGTTATAAGGACGTTGTTGTGTATGGGGTGGAAATTCGGGGCATGGAAGGCCGAGCGGGAATGGCTGCGCTCTACGATCCTGAACGATCAGTGGATCTGAATGCCGACTTCCGCGAAGGTCTGAAAAAGGCTCTGCCTGCATATGCCAGGCCCATGTTTGTCAGGATCTTAACTAAACTGGATCTTACAGGTCAGAACAATAATATTATTTTAAGCGCAAATTGAAGCTTCTAACGGCCTGGTCGCTCTTAACACTTTCCAATTTTCCTGGTCAATGGCAGAGAGTTTTCCCGTAGTATCTGTCTCGTTCGGTAGTAGCCAATCTTGATCTTTCTCAATCCAATTTCCACATCTGCGAGACTTTGCTCAGTAAGAACATTAGGATTAATTGAAAACCTTAAGTCCGGATTACTGAGAAATCCGGTTTACTGAAGGTTCGACTAATCAATAATTTTGTTTTCAAAGACAAAGTCAATAAATGCTATAAAGGATTATAAAAGCGAACGTCTCAACCGGTTTCAACGAGTTCTAATGTTAACGTTTCAATACAATGTAGCGAATATCTCTTGGTTTAAACTGTCTTCAGCATCTAAAGGCGATTTTTTTTCCAGGAACCTACAAATTAAAGAAAAACGATCTGCAAAAAGATGGTTTCGATCCATCAAAGACATCGGACAGTATTTATTATTTAAGTTCCAGCGGTCAGTACGAAATCGTCACCCAAGACGTTACCCAGAAAATCAATTCAGGCGAGATTCGAATGTAGAACCCATGAGTTATTGATGCTTTTTCAGCAGACTGATTTAATTTAAATGTTGATCTGATGGTCGTTATTGCCATCGCTCATTTTACTAGAAAAATGCATTGGTTTTCAGCTCTCTAGGTGCAACAGTTTAGTGACACGAATAGAGTTAGTTTTCTAGGCGTGTATTTTAGGATAGGAAAATGTGGTTATATGCCAATTTACTTTTTGTCTTTAAGTCCACTATTCGATTTATATCTAGGCCTAGCTGATTTTCTTGAAGGAGAAATCGAATGCAGGCTTATATGTATAGCTGTTAAGCACAATTTTTTTATTTGCATGTAAGTACTTTTAGTTGCGCAAATCGGATTGATCTAGTTAGGCCCTTTTTGAGTATTTAATTTTTTGAATGCCCTGCAAAGATAATGGTATTTATTTTAAGATTTTTTTAAAATTTATGTGGGCTTTTCTTACTCTTTGCATTCAAAAGGACAAACTTACTTTATAAGTGCGGCGTGGTTTAGAATATTGTACTCCTATTATTTATTGTGGTTTTGCACTATTTCTGGTTGTTGTAGTTTTTACTCATGTTATTAAAAGATTGTTCTTTAAAAGATGCTTTTTTTAATTTTCACTGGAGGAGAACGTCCAGTTAGTGCAATATTTCGTGCAGCTGCTGCATGTCCTAGAACCAATCAATACAAAGAATTAAGTTTCCAAACTAAGGGAGATTGCAAACACGCGCCACTGAGATAATTAAATCATATCTCTCTATCTGCACCCCGCTTTCCAAGGGGTGGATTTGCAAATTCCTCCCAACGTGAAGGGAGCGCGGGCATTTTGCGAGGGTGGATAGAAGCGGGGATATAGACGTCTCTTGGATATTTAATCCACGCATCGCGCAGTTGGAATATGGCCCAAACAAGAAACGTCCGATCAAAGAATACGGTTCTATTCGATTTTTATACGCTTTCGGCAACTAATTTCTTCGTACCGTTTTACCTCAGGCCCCTTTTGTTCAATGCGCTTTGTTAGTTGATTGATTTAAGGTCTCATTTGTTATGTAACTGCGATTCAGTGTTGTGGGATTGATCGGTAAGTATGCACGTGTTCTGTCTTTGAAATACTACACGCTCTCCTGTGCTGTTGGTGATTCATGACTGGGAAGTTGAGGATTTGTGGGATTTCTGGTTATTTTTACATTGATTTATTTTCATGTTTCTTTCGAAAAAATGCTTTAGGGCACGAAAAATGGTTATACGAAACAGGCATGTTTGCGTTCGTTCAAACACTCAATTTTAACATAATATAGAATTGTAAAATTTTATTAATTTCTTGTTTCTGACGAAAACATTATTTAGTACCTGCTGGAGAATTGAGTATATGAAACAGGCATGTTCGCATGAGTTCAAACCCTTTCAATTTTAATATAAAACCATCTATATGCTAATAACAAGACCCTCATTGGATTGGCAATTAAACTTTGAACGAAACTAAACAGAATTTAAAATAGAAACTAACTGCTAAATTAAAAAAACTCGTTAATAAGTAAGGAAACTATTTAGCGAGTCCTCTTCCGTCTGAACCGGGTTCCTTTTGTTATTTTGTTACTTCAATGTATACACTCATAATGTAAGATTTGCGCTCTATTTATTCAACAATTTCCGAGTACAGTCGGATCGTTCGCCAAAAGAAAACAAACCATCTCGTTCAATGGTTCGTATAAAATGTCGGTGAAAATATACAAATTACGCACGTTGCAGGAAAACAAACAGCCCAATAAAGATCGAAGACAACTCTTAAATGTTAATTGAGTTTGTAAGCCGCAAAAACGTCGTTAGTAATGTTTCTAAAGAAGCGAAGTAGAAGGAAAAAGGGAATCGCTGGAAATCTCTCAACGGGAAATGTTTCTGTGGATTGTTGCGACATTGATGATTTTTGTGCAGAGTGTTATTTCCGGATATATTGGTAAGGCGTGCGGATTTGGATTGCGGTTTTTCGCAAATTAGTACGCGGTTTTTTTCAGAAAAAGTGATTGTTAGTGGCTGTGAAACTTGCCAACTAATGCTCTCTTGTCGTCAGTTGGATTCCATTATTGCTATTCTGGATGTGGATTTTAATTCAACTGAAGCAGGACTAGCCAAAAAGATTCACGGCACATTTCCTCCGGATCATCCCAGAGACGCTCTTAATAAAAGGCAAGTTTAATTTAATTTTACCAAAAATCACACTATAAATTCCAGACATGTGCTTAGCCCAAAGCAAAAATGAACTGCATCTGTACGGAAGTAATTTATAATCAAATTACTCCCCCGATTAATAGCAGATGGTTCTTAAAACGAAAGTGTTTCTAATGGCAAACAGGAGTTTATCGTTCTTGTTTTTAAACGAAATGATTAAAAGGCCCCAAATGTTATCTGCCTCGTATCTTGCATAGTAATGTACGTTAATTTCCGGGCAATGTTTCAAGCTGCATTTCGGGTTCAAAGAGTTCGAATGCCCAAGACTCAGTTTTTAACGTTGGTCTGTAACACAGCAGATTATTCAACATTTTTATATGGTCGTTATCCCAATCGATGGCACCGCGCTAAATTATACCATAATAATGTATTTTAGTCCGATGGCAAATATTTTATAAATAATTTTCCAATTAAATGATTTACAGTTGCTCTAACAGACAACAGCGGTTTCACGGTCGCAAGTAATCCGATTTTGATATGCAATTTTTTGCGGTTTTGCTCTCTTCTATTTTGTTGTTGTGTGTTAATTCAGCTCGAGGGTTTTTGTTTTGTATTCATGAATTAATCATGGAAAAATTAATACAAGTAATACATTTTCATTGTCTACTAAGTAGTGAAAAAATGATTAGAGGAAGGAAAGTTAAGAGTTTCAATACTTTTTTGTATTTCGCAAAAGATTATTTCAGTTTTGAGTATCAAAATATCGTTTTTTTCTTGGGAACTTTCCAGCCCGTTACGTTTTTGAATACAAAAACAATTTTTTTTACTCAATAATTTGCACTTTTTAACTAATTTTAAAGGAACTAAAAACAAAAATTTAAAACCATTTTAAGGAAAATGAGGAGTGAAAAGAAATGTCAGGAACCGTGGAAAGCAGGAATTTTCGTAGTATGGTGTTTTCGGCGCAAACTTTCTCTTAAAGGGCGCTTTTAAATTTGCACTTTACATCACGCAACACCCTGTACATATACACTCATATGAATCTCATGAATATAGTAATAAATCAAATGAAACATAGTTCTAATGAAAAATAACTCATCTCTTGATCGCGTCTTCATATTTCTGTGTTTGTACTTTTGCTAAATTTGATTTTTTTCTTCAGCAGTTTGAGATTTAAATTTTATCTATAGAAAATTGAATCGCGGACACTTATGCTTTATTTAAAACATATCTTTTGATTATTCAGTCAATTTTACATTAAAAACAGTAACTGCACAAAATTTCAACACTTTTTCTTGGTTTTATTGAGTTTGGAAAAATTCTTCCGAACTTTGGGTTTTTTTAATCCAAACTTCCGTTTATTTTATTAGAAACTGGAAAAATATTTTGTTTAATTTGTAGAATCATATTAAGTAAAGTTAACTTATAGTCAATTTTAAGCATCTGCACTTCATAAATAATTTTAAAATGCATACAAATAAAAACATTTAGACATTATAGATTTAGAAGTAATTTAAATTAAAACAAATAAATGAAAATTAACTATCTTTTCTTTCAGAAAACATGATAAAAAAATGTATTGTTCTTTTCTGTCCATTTATCTTCGAAAAACTTTATAGTTTTTGCTCCTTTTTGCAGTTAACCGATACGATTTTACTCAAATCACCCATATTCAAACAGAACACCATCCAAGTTTGCCATATATTTCTCAAACTCCCCGCCGTATAATAACTGCCACTTTTATAGCAATAATGCCCCAAAACCTATTTGGGTAAACTTGACCCATACAACCTACAGACCATTTGTGCTATATTGTGAAAGAAAAATGAAATTCACCCTAAACTTTCATTCGAAATGTACGTGATGAATATGGTGATAAATCCTGAAATCGGGCCAATGTGTTAAGCGGCCCGAGAATAGGCTAGAGGGTAAATTTTCATTTACATCATGGGGTGGAAGTTGGCAAGGACAAAGCGCATTTTCTGCTAGTAATGTGTCTTTTGATTTTACCCTAAATACAACATCGGTTACAACTGTTTAATTTCATACAAGAACAGTGATTCATTGGGAATTCGCTTGTTTGAAAACCAATATTTTATATATAATTTTAGATGTTCAGGCCTTAATTACTGTAGCTTTATACTGAGTGAAGACAGTCCGGGTAGTGAAGCTTTGGGAGCTGGAAATTTAACGATAAAATACGCTTGTGTCACAAGTAAGAAGCATTTTTTTTAAATTGCAGCTTGATGTTAATTTTTTTTATGTTAGGAGACCGAGTGAATCCCTACTGTAACACGAAAATCCAGCTCAACGAATTGCGCTCTTCTGGAATAATTCACAATCCAGGATATCCTAGATTCTATGCGGGAAAACGCGACTGCATCTGGAAGATATTTGCGACTCCTTATCAGAAAGTCAAATTAAAAATCCTAGATATAGCTCTTTTCGGTGAGTTAGATTTTTAGCTTCCCAAAGCCAGGTAAATATGGGATTTTTTAGATACGCGAGTATTGCTACAAGAAGACTGTAAAGACACACTGGAAATCAAAGACAGTGGTCAAACGATTTTTTCCACTTGTAGTCAAAACGATCCACCATCGGAGGTAATTTCCGCAACCGAATCTGTAGAGGTAAGTCATTTTTTAAGACTGTTGATATTATTTATTGGTAGCCAAGAAAACACGTTGAAAATAACACTTCTTAGGCTATTTTAAAGGCACTCTTAATGGGTCATCCAGTTGGAATTTTAACAGTTTTTTTTTTGGTGGATATTATGTTAAGCTAAAACCCGTTTTATGAGGAATTATGCCCCAGTTAACTTAATTTAGCTGATCTTTAGAAGTAGCACAAATGCGAAATGGTGTTAGTAGGTGAGTTTAGTAATCCACTTTAGAAGTGCAATGAGAAGCAATTTCGAAAGTTTAGGATTAAGTTTATCTTTGGGAAATTAGAGCATACTTACATAAAACTGGCGGGTTTTGATTAAATTTGACCTGAGATAATTATATTTTTTATACAAGTATTAGTAGGTACTTTTAATTTTGTAGTGGTCTTAATTTAAGCCCCTTAGTTTAATTGTTTCTACATTTTCTTCTATTTGGTGGCTTTATTTCATTTGCTGCTTATTTGCCTAATTTGATTTTGTTTTCGTATGTTAAAGAACTAGACCTGAAAATTTTTCAGTCGATCAGGAGCGTTCGATATTTTTTACGGCCATAAACTGAAATGCGCCAATCCTTTTCAAATTTACAGACGGACTATAAGAAATGCTATCTCCAAAGCTAATTAAGTTAGGAAGTTTTTTTAAAGCTAATTTAGTTGGGAATTTTAACCAACTGTGTAGAAACTATTAGGTTCCCAATGGACAAAATTTCGACCGAAACATAGCTTTAATTGGTCTTTCAGAAGCTCTAAACTTAAGATTGACTTACAGAGCACCTTCTAAACTTACAACGGGACGAGAAGAAACTAGAACTCCAAAACGAATTAAGCTATACTCAATTGAGTCCCAATGCTCAAATCACTCTCCACTAGACCCAATACTTCTTGTCAATTTCCCGATTTCTTCCTCTTAGTTGAAGTGTTCTTCTAGCTTATTTTTTTTAGTAAAGCGCTGTTTGTCCATTGATTTAATTTCTTGAGCTGATTTCTATTAGCTTTTCTATTCTTCCAAGTGTATTTTCAACGCGTATATTTTTTTCTAGGTAGTGTTAACATCTCGTCAACTTATCAACCCAAGAAGAGGCGTTTTAATTTACTACTCATCGGTTGGTTGCCTGCCAGTTCCAGCACCCAAGCAGGCGTTCCTGGTGTTCCAGAATCAATCAGTAGCCAGCTATTCCTGCTGCAAAGGCTACGTTTTCCCGGACACCCAAACCGAAAATAGGACAATTAAATGCTATGGGGATTCTTGGAATGTTTCACTGCCATTATTAGATTGCGAGAGTAAGTGTATCAACGGTCAGTAGAATCAAATAGGACGTTTCGCCTACATTTACTACAAGCATTCTCGAAGGCGATGCACCAGTCGTTTAAATCTTTTGAAGGTCCTCCTGAATGAACAAACAAGCTAATTTTGATACTAATTAAATCAATTATCTTCACTGAATGATAAAGCGAGGATTGTTCTCGGTTTATCGACCTTGTTCATTTAAAATTCGGTCAATTTTCCTAAACAGATTGTTGCGGTCAGTGTTAGGTTGCGATGTTATGAAAAGAAACTTTCTACACAGTGTATTTATGATTGGACTAGGCGTAGCAGTTTATTATTTATTGCAGTGCGCGTCAATTAGGACGACATTTAATCACAAAGTCCAGTCGATTGTTGTTTTGCTCTTTTGTTGTTGATGTTCAGAGTAAGTAGACCAGTTGAGTTATTTCTGTAGCTGCGTATCGAATTTGGGCTTGATTCCACAAAAGTCCTTTTCTGCCTTTATGTGCTTCGCTTGGCTTTCAAGCGGTGCGCTTTTGTGCTGAAACTGTATAGAAAAGTTTGCGAAACTAGCCAGAAACGAGATTCTTTCCAACGGCAAAATATACAGACGCACATTTTTTTAATTAAATTTAGCCAGAACTAAAAAGCACATTTAATCAATCAAACTCAATTAAACAAGCGCGCTTACTCCTCTCTAGACCCACTCATCGTTTAAGCTCTTAAAATAGAACTAAAATTGTCACATTTTCCAATAACATTTATGTTCATATAGTCTAGCCATGTGTTGTCTGAGCAAGCAAATCCCAAATCACTGATTGTAAAAGCGTTAAATATTTGTAAGTTGTTCAATTTTTCGGTTGTTTAATGTGTTGTCTGATAAGGGCTTATCCCGTTCAGTGGTTCAAGGCGTTTTTACGCAGATAATACGAAATCTAAGTCTGTTCGTGCATATTCGACGGGCTTTAAAAGGATATTAAAATCTCCAGGTAATTTAACATAATCGCTTTGTTACTAACGACGCAAAATATTCATTTAACTTGAGCTAATTGAAAGTCAAGTTAATTACCTTAAAGTGGTAACCAACTATATTGCCATGTGGTTTGTATAGTAAGGTTATTTATATTATGGCAGAGTATTCGACAATTTGTATTTTTGTTATTTTCTTTTCTCATATTTATAAAGCGGGCGTTTGTTCATGTTGAGT